CCACTGTTAAAATTATTCATTTTATACGGCAGGTAGAGTAACATTGACCTAATGTCATTGGCCACTATAGAAAAATCGAGGTATAGTGGATCTAAAAATTTAAAGAAAATACTGGTGCACCAGAATGGCACCAACTTTCTCCAACTAGTTAGTTTTCTAATCTCTTTACTCTAGACTTGCTTTTTGGTATTCCCCCATCCCCGGTTCTAAAAGAAATGTTTGAGGGTTTCCGAAAATGCGCAATTTTGTGCTCATTTTCACACAAAAGTTTAATGTTAGAGACACTTTATAAGACATAATTTGAAGCACTTGCACTAGAAATGCCATAATGTATAATAACGCCCGTAATGTAAATATCAACCATTAAAGAGTATTCATTTTTTAAACCCTTCAAAATGACATTAATTAATGAACCAATCGTCATCTACAATTTCCATTTGAGGATCTTCCTTGAATATTGCACCGTTTAGAAGACACCGAAAAAAATTTAAAACCATTGCTTTTTTTCGAAAATTCAGAATTAGGTGTAAAAATTAGACATATGTCATCTTCATAAGTATATTTCACTCTATTCTAACTGGAAATTTTAAGAACAAATTTGAAATCATTTGAAAATGTCAGGGGCTTCATGTAAGGAACCCTTAAAATTTATTCTTTTCAAAATCGCAGGAAATCGAGTCAGAGCAAAGTGAACGAGAATATTCATTTTGGCACAATTCCAACGAATATTGTAGAATGCGAAAGCCCCTTGCATCCATGTCGGTTTTGTTGTTTACAGATGGTCTGACAGACGAACGGACACACAGACGGGCATACGGACGGACAGACTTGACAGGCATAGCCAGGGCCAGGCAGTCGGAGCACTTTTTCGGCATTACGGGAAATTTGTCCCACATCGTGTGTGTGTGTGTGTGTGGGGGGGGATTTTCCAAGGAGCCCCAAACATTATATGATCCATTTCAAAATTGAGTCTTGAGTGGGGCCAGATCAATAGTGTCTATGTTCAATGTTGGAAAAAATCTATGAACGGGTCACTTGTGTTATCTAGTCACAGACTGATAAACACATTTTCGGTATCAAAGCCCCACAAAACGTGGGTTTTGACTACATTACATATAAAAGAAAGTTATTTACTACGTAGATGAGCATAAAAATCTACATTTTCAATACTCATATTTTGAAAAACTAGCACATTATTTGAAGATCTAATTTGAAGAACAAAGATGATGAAAATAATGTGATTACCAAATATCTGATTGGTGAACTTCCTTTGTTCAGCTTGGGCAATAGTGTTGTTCATCTTAAGACAGAAAAAAAGTTGAAAACAAATTTTTGGATATCAAGAACACAATACCAATGGATTTTGTGTCTCTTTAGGTTTCGGAAAGTGGAAATTGTCTACAAAATTGGTGTATAGGATATGCTTTAATTTTACAGGCTCATATCACCTAACAACTATAATGGATTGCTAGATAACTCATCCACAACATGCACTTAACTGGAATCATACAACCTAGGTTAAAATAAAGTAGTGTATTAAAGGACAAATAGAATAAGGGGGTTCCGGCTGACTTCCTTGATCTTGCAAAAAAAAGTATTTTTCTAAAAACTCACATTCAATTTAATATATTTAAAATGCTAATAAAAGTGCCAGTAACTTTGGGAAAATGAATTTTGAATGTTATAAAAGTCTATGACTAAGCAAATGATCGCAAAATTCAAATAAATGAACTTGATATTAAATGGAAAATAATACAATTGCATTCTCATTTCCTTAAAATGCCACTGCATACAACCACAGTACACCAACATCATATCGTAACTAATGATCAAAGTGTATATAGCAGATAATTAATTTGCATTCCAAAAACTGATCTTAATATTAAAACAAGATTAAAAAGCAAAATTAAAACTATATAATAGAAACTGTGCTAAAAATATGCTCAAACAAATGATGCAACTTCTTAATTCTTTGGAAAATACTGAATGTCTTATCAATGAAAACAAATCCCGGTGAGTCCAAAGGTTTTTTTTCAATATACCTTATTCTAGTTAGCTGAGCAAAATTCCTGTTCTTGACAAAACAAAAGACTAGTGAAATTATTTAAAATTTATACAGTACATGTGTTGTTTCTTTTTTAAAAGACTACTTGTTCAATAGTTTAAATTATTTTTTGAGAAACATATCAGTTTCTCTACCTCATAGAGTATTTTAAAGGTTTATTCCCAAGATCACTTCTTAATTACTACTGCAAAAGAGTTCTGTTTATGAAAGTGAGATATTCTAAATAATAGACAGTTCATTAACTGCCACACTACTCTGAATGATATATACAAAGAAGCGTGTCCATATCAAAGATTTCCATTGCTTTCACAAACAAAAAAAGGGGGAAAAGCACGCAATTTGCAAATTAAACATTTACATATTTGCTCAGATTCATTATTGTCCATAACCATATTCCAATCCAAGTCCGATCGAAGTCCAAGGACAAGAAACATAAGAAATTGAAGATTACCAACCAAACCTACAAAAAGCATTTGTTATAATTCATTCTGAATACTGTGAACATTAATGAGATGATGGACTGAACCATTATTCCTCAGTTAATTATCAATAAATCAATTCATACTTGCTAGTTAAGAGAGTGTTGAAACAAATGTCAAGGATGGGGTCTGCAGAGAACCATGGAATTCATCCCTTAACATTTTATTAAAAGTAGTAAAAGAAGTGTCACAGTATTTCTCAATCATTACAAAACAACATATGACTAAAGGGTATGAGTTCTAAACCACATAACACATTTTAAGTTGTTTGTAAGTGATACTTTTTTTGCAAGTGACATTTTCTTAATAACATTTAATTAGGAAACAATACTTTTTAAGTTAGTAACAAAGCCACGAAGAAAACTTAATGAATGTCTCATTAAATAATGAAACAAAGCTATGACAGAATAGAAATGACCATGAGTTCTAAAGTATAATTGACTAAATTTCCCATAGGAATCAAAACAAATTTAAGAATTTGAAACATCACAACTAATAAAAACAAATGACTGATTATGCATGAAATCTCAATACTATTAAGGTCGTAAATAAAGCCACAAATTCACAAACTAATCATAGGAGGAAAATTGAAGAAAGAAAGAAAAAAAACGAGAAAAGATTGCAAATTTAAAGCCTAAAATATAAGATTACACTGACAATTTCATAGTAGGTAGGCATTCAACTATATTTTAAATGTTTCTGCCTTTCCCAGAAAAAAATTAACAAGATCACAATGCTATAAAAAGGAGAAAGACAATTAACACATTGAACAGATATCAGAAACGTTCAATCAAATTGTAAGTGAAGTAATGCTTTTGACTATCAATACCATTTTTTTGTTATCATAACACAAATGCATAAAATTTAAAATAACAATTCCAACATTCCAGTTTTGGAGTTTTTCCTCTAACCAACACCCACAGAACTAAAGGATAACATTGTTTCCCAGGCACACCATTAAATAAATCTATCTCCATAAATTTAATTTTTGTATCTCCACATACCAATGCAACTATTTCAATTCCCATCATTCTTATAGCAGTGTTTTTAAGATGTCAATTTTAAGATATGAACTAGACAAACAATATACATTCAAGCTTTGCATACTTTTTAAAAATATAATTGAGTTTTGATTTTAAATGAAAGCTTAACTAGTCAATATCCCAGATTCTATTAAACATAAATCACAATGTTAAATATTTTTGAGTTAAATACAAATTATTAAGGACACACATACCTAGAAATCAAGAGCTCAAAAGAGGAAGAAAAATTAAGCAAACTAAAAATTAAACTTTTGGTTCTCAGATACACTACACAATTTGGTAAAAGGTCTAATACCATTATGTTGCATAACAATTTTGAAGGTTTTTGAGACAGGTAAATTTAGCCCCTCCAATCAAATTTAAAAATTAAAACCAATCCATATGACTCCTATACAGTACATTTTCCTCTGTGTGACTTTCCAAAAGACTCAATACAACTAAATTACTAAACTAACACCTCAAAGGATCTCTATAATTCCCAAATACTGACACTACCCTTGTAATATCTGATCAAATACTGAAACTGTCCTTGTTTATTAATCGCAAATTAATATTTAGTGACAAAACATACTGAAAATGAATCTGATTGCTTGATGGCAACTTTGCGATATCTTTAACTCATTTCAAACATTCCAAGACTCCATTTGCCTAAGTTTTAATTAGTAAAGTATAATTTAGTTGCATAAATACGTAGATTAATGTACATACATCAGGAAAAATTTTGACTGATCCACTATTTAAATCTAAGCATATTGCTTAAAAATTACATATGCATTATAAAAATTATTTAGACATAGCATAGTAAAAACGTCGAAATGTATAATAAGTGTAGTTTGGAAATATCTTTGGTTATGTTGAATTGTAATGAAGATAACAAAAAAACTGAGAATCCTACAATTCGTAATGGTATCATGCAATGCACTGGGAAGTACAGATATTTGATAAAGTACATTGACTTTATATATCAAGTAACAGCTTTGTAATTATCAGCTCATTTCCTTTTACTGTACATTGGTAAGTGAAGGTACAAATACTTATCAATAAACTCAATCCCAGCAGCACTTTCAATAATATATTACTACCATAAAGAAAATCTGATCTATTACAAGAAACTTTAATTGTTCCTGATATTTATTCCATAATAGTAATAATAAAGTACATGAATGATTACTCCTTCAACTTTATCTGAAGCTAATGAATGATAACTCCTTCAACTTTATCAGAACAAATTATAAATTCAGTACATACCAAAGGTAAAATCCCAATTCTGAGAATCATTACAAGGATACGTTTTGTTTTATTTACTGTGTATCATATATAATTCATATGATATTTTATTTCAAATGTTTATACCAGATAACATCAATATTTCACTGCTTACACTAAGTAATAAGAAAGATCTATAAAACTCACCTCAGAGTAGCCCATGGTCACCAGCTGAGATACAGACTGTCGATACAAACTATAATCTTTATCCACTCCGTTACTACCTGACGCAGCACTAAGACCACTTAGTCCAGAAGCAGAACTCACACCACTAGTTGTCGAAAGTGTTGATATAGTACTTGCAGCACTAGAACCAACATTCTCACCAACTCCACTTGTAGCAAAAGGTAACAATGAGTTTCGAATCTCTTGTAAAGCCTTCTGATGGTAGCCCGAGGCACGGGTGGACGACTTGCCTGACGTGGCAGGGTTCATAGTGGCGATGTACTGCTGGCCCATACTAGGCCCAGCGGGCGGGCAACAGTCAAGTGCCCGCGGGCCACTGTTGCACCTGCAGCATGCAAAACTGCACTCTTTTCACACTTGGATCACTATGTCACACAGTACACAGCACAATTTTGTATCACTTATTCTTGAAAACAAACACCCTTTTCATTCTTTCTTCTGCAGTTCTTCTACATTGGATACTGTTGATGATGCTCATGTTGTTGAACACACCTTGAAAAAATTAATGTCTTGTTTAGATTGCAAACGCATAATTAAATTCTAACAAAAGAAATGCCTTGTAAGATTATGAGTGTATTAAACATATTCATATTACTTTTATTTTCCTACAATTACACCTAATAGTACAAAGAATTAAGTAAATTTAAAATTGCCACTATCTACTTTATCGAGCCTTATTCACAATCAACTTTCTACACTGACACTTATTCATGTCAGTATTTTCTCTTACTTAAATGTTATACATATCAGAACAAGCTTAAAGATCAATGCTATAATTTGCACTTGTCTCAACTCACCTTATTAAAATCCACTGAATGCAGATTGTTAAGTACGTCATTGTTTTCAAAGGTCAAACAATTGAACAAGAAAAATAATGCAAACTTTTACTTTGTCGGCATATGTATGATCGGCGATCTTTGGTGTAACTTCTTTAAAATTCAACTTCCCACTTCAAATGTTGCATTGTATATGCATACAAGAAGAGTGTCAATTAATTTCAAGCATTAAATTCAGCTCACCAACAAGAATATATATATCTTCAGACGACGGCAGGAATGACGATACCTTTCAATATACATCTGAAAAACATACATAAAGGGATAAATGGTCATCTTGTTTGAAACATGAAGACACTGAACAAGACCTAAATACAATGTTGGAATACCCTTATTTATTGGGAGGCTAATGTCACGAAACGCATACCACAATACCGATGATGCTCAATAAGTATACTCAAATGTCACACAAGTATATTTTCGTCTCAGAAACTTATCATCGTAAGTATCACGAAAGATGCTCACAGAAATGCCATGAACCAAAATTTGCAGAACACCTTTTACATACCCCTTTAAGTTCTAATAATACTTATATGCAGATGTTCATACGTCATTTACACATGTAACAGAATCTCAACACCGTGGAGCGAAATACTTAATTATCATGACACATAAGATATCATAATAAAACAAAGAAAGATATAGTCGTAAGTTGGCAAGGCACTACGCCATCTTGAGTGCCACATTCCGGAGTGATGACATGACTGGAGTCAAACTTGATACTGAGAATGTGAAAAAAATTAACGAACGAATATTACTGTTTTAAAATCTACATAATAATTTGTAAAAATAAATATAATGTACATTGTTTGTTTAGTGGTGCGCGTCATTTACACACATTCCAATGCAGTACTGATAAAGGCTCCGAGAAACTGTGTGAGGATTGAGGAATGTCTTCCGCAGGTTCCTTGAGGGAGATGCTGTGTGCTGTAGGGAGCTGGGGAAACATGGGGAAATGGAATTTGGGAGTAGTTGTGCCTACACTAGGACAGAGCGCGGTAGAAGCGGTGGGAACCAGAGAAACAAGTGAGCGAGAGAACAGAGGAGCTGAACTGATTTGACAAAAGAACCAGAAAAGAACGACCGGTGTGGTGTTCTGGACTTCGAAGTAGCTGGTGACATAGTTCAATTTGGTTCTCTTGCTCGAGTGATTGGAATTAAGGTGAAGCTGTAATCCCCTACTAACTGACAGAATAATCTGTTGAGAGTTCATTGGCAAAAAAGAAACTGTAACGCACTGAAGGTGATCCATGCATCCTTAAAATAAACACATTTTTTGGTGCAGAAAACTTGTGCATAGTGTTATAAAATAATATTTCGAAGTAAAGTATCTGCCTCCTTTACCAACTGTTTAATCATGTTTTAAGAATATTGTACAAGCTTTTTTTAGAAAGCTCGAAGGAGCCCTTGGAACCAGACCCGGCACTGCGCAGGTGTTTGTTGAAAGGTAAACCGGAAAGCATTTGTAGGGCGAATAAAAAAGTTTATAAAATGTTGTTGATGTGATTTAGCCGAGTCGGTAATTCTTTTCGTTATAGAAAGGAAAAGGGAACTAAACTAATTTGCAATCTTAGTACTTACGGAGCATTCTACTTCCCTTCATTTCTACACTAATGGGGAAGGTGTTATCAGTTGTCCAGAGAAGGGCGAATCGATTTAACGTGGAGAATAGAGCGCATAAAATAATTTCGAAAGAAAAACCTATGCCGGCACCAATGCATCCTTATGCCAAAGAACAACTGGAGAAATTAATGAAAGGTTATATAATTGTCATAATGAGGTTAATGGAACAATTTATGAAAACTTCTAATTTTCAAATTTAATATTTGTAGAACATCCAGAAATAATTGAACAGCACCAGCAGAAAGACCCGAATTTGCAGAAGTATTTAAAGCAAGTATTTGTGACGTCTGAAGATCCTGTACAGAATCCGGACACTATTCAGAAGGTATTACATAAACTGTTAATTCTTTTGTATGAATATATTAGATTAATTATTCATATTTTCTTATATATAACAGCACAAGGAGGACCAATCTCTGTTACCACAAAATCGTCAACCCCCAAATGAACCAGAATTTGGGTTTCATGAACCTGCAATGATTCCCAGGGGTCGTGTAACCTTGCGACAAGCACTTAAGTTTATTACAGATCATCAAACAGATCCAAGCAAATGGACTGCAGAATCAATAGCTGACAAATATAACCTGTCACCACAAATAACAGGTGATATTGTTTTCAAAAAAAATTTTTGGTCTTCTATCCACATTTCTTGTGAACTTTTCATTTGAATTGTATTACTTTTCTTCATGAAATTAAATTATTACAGTACCCTGGCAGGTGGCTTATATTATGTGGTTTTTCAGGGCACATCCTCCAGTATTTTCACACATTTGAAGTTTATATTCCAAATGTAGAAGACCCTAGCTCAAAAATAGCTGAACCATTTAAGAGTAAAGTATCTATAGGAGATGGAAAATCATCTTAGTCATGGAGAAGAGAGTATTGAATAGGTTTTTGTTGAGCTTGTGTACATACTGTTAATAAATTGTTATTTATAATCATTATCAATCATGAAATAACAGAAACATATAGCTATTTTACTCGTGTAAATATTCATTAATGAATTCTTGCTTACTGCCTTATATGCTCCTTGAAGATTGTATTGTATAATTGTAAAATTGTTTCTGAGTTTATCTGTAAGAAAAATGTATTGAGTTTAATTCAGTGGTTCCCAAACTTATATCCATAAATTCTTTTTCACAGCAAAATCAGGTCAATAAATACCAGAAATATCATGATTCTCTCATTACTAATAGTCCGGAGCAGGGGTTCCTAAACATTTTTTTTTACCACACCACCATCTGTCAATACCAAAACATCTCACACCCCTGTATCGCATTTGTACCTGGTAATGAATAAAACAAATGGGTTTTTGAACTCGTGTTAATTTCTTTTTTCCTTTTTCTTTGTGAGTCAAATAAATGCAATACTATTTATTTCTAATTAATATTACAAGAGTAAATTTAAATTAAATGTCATTAGAAGGATAAGCTCAAATTTTTTACCTGATGGCGTATCCTTGGTGGATATCAGAAAGTGCTTTACACAAATAATTTGTAGTGACAAGTTTGCCCTGTTTATTTGTTTTATTGACTAGTGCTGAAACTTTCTTGCACAAATCACTCAATACTACATTGCAAATAACAAACAGGATGTTTGATGCTGTCCTTTACCATGCCAATACGCCCATATTTAATATCTTTGTTTTACTAGCATTTTTTTGCTGAGCTCAATGACATGTCCCAATGCAACTGACGAAATTCACATCTTCCAATTGCGCCCAGTTCATGGTAATGTTCAGGTATACCACAGCTCAACGGGTCCCGTGCCTCCCTTGGAGGGGAACACTTTGGGAATCAATGCTCCAGAGGAATTGATGAATTTAGAGTTTAACCAGTGGAATGATAGCTCTCAAGAAATTCATGTGTCCTAAATGAACTTGGAAAATAATTAATTGGATTTGTTGACCACTTGTAAACTCTTTTCCTTCCTACTACAGATGTGTAGTTTTGAGGAATGATCTGTCAGTCTATTGGGTCAAACACTTTGCATCTTCTAATAAGAGAGAAACATTTGTGGAATATAATGTATACTACTTTGATTTTCTGTAATGTGTAATTGTCAAGAAAAAACTTTCCTCTACACATCTTTCCAATAATTTTGTTTATATATTTAAGGCTTACACTAGAAATGTTGGTAAGGAAAGAACTCCTGGACAAAATAATCTGAAGATTACTTCTCCTTTGCTGTTATGGGTATGCATATTCAGTAACATTTCTACAGTTAATTTACCCCCCCCCTGAAAAGAAGAAGAAATTTAATCTGAATATTTTTTAGACAATGAAAAGAAAACTTCCATTCTTATAAGACCTTGTAGATTCACCAGCGTTCATGCTTGAAATATTTTTCTTGAGATTTAAATGATATGCTTTAACGTAACAGAATCATGAGTATTACTTCTTACAAGCATTTTTTTTGTTTTCCTCCTTAAGGGAATTTTAAATAATGCTGAAATGATGGCTTGTATTGTCAGTGTAATTATATTAAAAAGCAAAGAAATAATGCCATGAAAAGTTTTATCTAATGTTGATTATGCCAAAACAAGTAGGGAACGAAGTACAGCTAACACTGCATTCAGAGGAACACAAATATCGATCTTTTGTTAATAAAAAAAATAATTGCAATCCTTATTCTCAAAGCATCCCTATTTATTCTGGGATGTTGTGACACTTTTTCGCAATATTTTCCATTCGAAACTAACTTTTCAGTTTAATGCATTGTGCAGAACAAAGTAATCAACACACCCATATACAAACAACCAAATTAATTAAAGTATGTGTTGCTTAAAGAAAAGGAAAAAAGCATCACATTTCCCACAGTTGTAATCAGCAATATATTCCTGAAAATGCACCACTTGATTTCCAAAAATCTTGAGTTATGGAGGTAATGGGATCAGAAATATTATGTAATCGACATTATATATATGATTACCAACTTCTACCAATATTTGTTTAAATTTTTTTCGAGAGCAGATCGGATTAGGAAACTTAAAATGCCCATTTTCATTAGCACCATTTCAAGAAATTGAATTGTGCTAAACGTAGACAAATAAAAGATTAAAAAAAGGCTGAGATAATATTTGATGTCACTTTTATTGATGAGCATACACAGAATTAATGATAAGGGTTAAGAAAGGTGTAACACTTCTCAATGTTTCATTAAAAAGTTCTAATACTACATTCAATATATAATACAAATATATCTTCAAGTGATATTACAAAACAATTTTATCCCACCGCCATATTGTTCCATCATCACACACACACAGTAATACTGAGCCATCCCTACTAAGACTTGTCTGCCTTATTGCAGCAACGCATCTTGGATGTGTGAGTGTTGTACAGCGGGACTGGTTTGGATCTGTGACATCTAGATCCCATACAAATGTCCGGCCCACTTGGTTTCCAAGGGCTAAAATCTAAATGATGGTATCAGTATTAATTGCAATTTAAAATTGTGAACCTTAGATAAGTAATGTCTTATAAATCGCATACACACCTTTTGCCAGAAATCCATAGCAAATCTAACAAACCAAATTTCACATTCTTTGTACTCAAATCTGTGGATAATGGTCACATTAGTATCATTGGTTCGAAGTTCTTTATCTTCCAAACGCCCAGGTTTCCAGCAAACTATGCAATTTTCACACGACTGAAAAATAAATTGATAATTAAGTTTTTCATAAGATGATGAAACTTGCAATTGATCAACAAAAATAACTGAATACCTTGGACAAGACAAAGTCACCCAGCCACCGCACACAATCAACATAATTTCGATGAATGTCTCTGGTTGAAAAATCAGGGAAATGCTCTTTGAGAGAATCAAAAGGACGTAAACTGCGAGCAGCATTAAATTGGTATGAATTTCTTATTGCCTCTCTCATTGTTTCCTTGTCTAAGCGCCACAATTTCAGAGAATGGTCCATTCCACATGACATAATTCGATTTCCAACCAGATCAAAATCCTGCAAAATTCACCTTAAAAATATAATAACACTATACAAACTAATTAACTTAATAATGATGATAATGTACTTACAGCACTCAAAACTTCATCTCTATGACCTTCTACACCTCCAAATATTGCAATACATACATCAGTTTTCACATTCCATAATCTTAAAGCATGATCTTTAGACACGGAAAGGAGTAAGTTGGGGTCTCGCGGATGAAACTTTAATTCATTAATAGCGTGACCATGTCCTACAAAATAAAATCAAGGTAGATTTCAACAGTTAATCAAACACTAACTTTTTGGAAGCCTGGAAATCCATTGATAAATTTTCAGAATTTTAAATTAAAATTAATACTTATTAATATTAATTAAATCAATTAATTTAGACGCACTTTCATTCCCCTCTCAGACAAAATCCTTGATACAATAGCTATTCCAGAAAACCCAGGAAAAGTCATTTCTAATAACTCTGCAGCTTGTTTTCAGCTTAATTCCAGATTTTCTTTCTCTGTTCAATATATTTTTAATTGTTATTCATGACTTGTTCATGGACTCCTAGTTCATAAACTCTCCCACAGAGAAATATTGCACTCAGTAATAAAAAATAAAACTGTTTTATGACTGACAAAACAAATACATTGGTTAAAATTTAGGATACAGTACACCCTTAGAGAAGCGTGACGGCAGGGCTTAAGCCCTAATGCTCTAATAGAAATGAATAAAACATACGGATAGGCGATTTTCATGGTTCGCCGTTCATATGCTTTGTCCCCGCCGCATTGTAACACCAATTTACTTTCAAAGGCAAGTTTTCTCGCTTCGCCCGGATCAAAGTTAAGGACAGGGCTCAGGCCTTCGGCCCTCGCATTCACTATAAACATCCTTGAGTCTATCCAATGCATAATTACCAATTTACTTTTATAAGACATAACTCTTCAAGAAAACCTCCAGAATTCTAACTGCCTAGTTAACGCCGGAACGGTGCAAAGTGCTGGTTTAAACGACTTCCTTTGGTTGTACTGTATACAACATTTCAGCCAATGCATCTCCTTTCAGAAGCCCTAATTTTTCAAACACCATCACTCCAAGGCGACACAAAAATTATTGTAATGTATTGGTATAAATCTTTTATGAATATATTGTATTGTACAGAATACAATGTTGTCGTAATAATTATCTTATACTCCTTTTATTTTGGTTACCTAAGACCTGGATTTAATAAAGATAGTGGGTGTGAGCAAATACAACTCTATAGAGTCCCTGAGTATCGGAGTGTGAATAATTTAACAATGCCAGTAATTTGTTTACAATGGCTGCTTTCAAGCATGATAAAGTGAAACTAGAGCTGTAATGCGAGATAGGGTGTCTGGAAAGAGCTATTCTCTTGCTTTGGCGAGAGGACAAAAAGGTAAGTTTTTCAGCATGCTCTAGCACCTAAACCATTTTTCAGAAATTGAAAGTTAATGTATGCATATTGTAGGAAATTTTATCTACTTCAATTCTGTAAATAACAAATGTTTTTAGAGTGGCAAACACAAATCAAAATCAGCACCCTCAAACACATAGAACAGTTGAGAAAAATTTCTGGCTTTTTCCTGGATCAGGCCCTTTTTAGTACCAAGTGACTGGAGTATATTAGCTTTGATGTATTACAATATTCAATTGCCATGAAGTAATTTTCGTAAAAAGCTTGCAATAAATACTTCTGATTCGCATACACCCACAAATGGGCAAGAAGTAATGAAAAGAAATATGGATTATTATCAAGAAGCCACTCAAGTTGATCAGATTCTGAATAAAAATATGTAATACAATGTAAATAACGCATTTCTTACTTCTACATGGATTTGTGGAACGATGTGCACAATACATCTTGTGATTCATCAACACACAATTTGCAAAAACTGAACAACAAATCAGATGATTGTGAATGCAAGAAACCATATTAATATAACACAATTCTTGCAGAGCAAAAAGATAAATAATAAGTATGAAATTTTATACACAACTGATGCGCACACTACCAATCATAATCATTGCAGACTTTCTTCAAAACACAAAGTTGATTTCTTGTGGGATGACTTGAGGCATGAACTGCTTTGTGCACATTAGGTGATGAAAACCATAAACCACCAATCTTCCTTAGATTTTGATTCTCTTATGTACAGAACACCTGTTACAAGTGCCTGTCTCGCTGTATCTCCTTTTTGCTGTTCTAGTTTTAATAGAGCAAATACAGTACCTCTCATGCTTCGAGACAAGCCGCTTAAAAGCCTATACAGATGGCTGAAAGAACTGGTTCTTGAAAGTCAAACAGAAATGATTGTTTTGCGAGGACATACACTACACAAGATGGGATGTGTTTCTTCTGCCATTTCAAGGGTTCTTTTCAAACATATAAGTAGATTTTACCTTGTCAAGTATAACAAGGTTACACACTGAGTAGGTGTGACTATTTGACATACACCAAAATTGGCATTGAAACTCCATAATTTCATAGGAGCTTCTAGTGCTAGTGTTCAAATGTATTTAACAATACTAGTTGCTTGCATTGCTTGAAGAGATTTTTGTAGCACATGCTTTATGAAACAGGTGCTGCTTGTGAATGTGCCAAGTGAATGAAAGTAAGTTATTTGTATCGCTTAATGATCAACAGTCAATTACATCTAATGAAAGCTTTAAAATCCAAAGCCAATGTTGTTGTAAATAGAAATTGGAATTTGAATATGACTGACACGTACTTCAGTTTTCAATCAATTTTCAATGGTGTAGCTGTAATCTATTATTTACATCGCTCAAAAATTATCTTGTTAAGCTACATTTACATATGTTAAAAACAATGTAAATAAATTTCAAAAGTATACATAAAAAGTCTGCCAATTACCAATATAATGTCTGATGCAAGACATTGTGGCAGGATTGAAAATTCGAATGATTCCTCTTGAACCAGCAACAGCTAATATTGGTTTTCCAGAATCTTCATCAAAGGACCAGGCACATGTATAATAGTTTTCATCAATCTGTTACAAATTTAAGGAAACAATTCACAAATGAAATAATATTTTCAATGTTTTCATAATATATTATCTAAAAAAAGGATACATCTGGATCAGCATAGCACTGAAGTAATTTTATCCCTGAACCTTCAGGACATTCATAAATTGACACCCTGTTGCTTCCCACAGCAGCAAAAATTAGTGGTTGTCCTTCCTTCAAATGATGATTGAATTGTGCTCCAAATAAAGGTTGACCATGGTCTTCTTTGACACTAGTGCTACAAAACATATTGAAAGTGCACACAAAGTCAATAAACTGCAAACACAAGAAGCCAATTAAATGAAATAATTCAATAAGTTAATAATAAAAAATTCTTCGGAAGAATTTCCAATTACAAGACTCACAATAAACAGTTAACATATTAGACAATTCTAGAAAATATTTGTCAATTGACAAATAGCAAGCAAAATTGTGAACACTTCCTAAATCCCATTAACAATTTATTTTTTGTGACTAGAATGCATATTTAAAAGAAAGAGAGAGACGAGACAGAAGTTGGTTGATAATATCAACCAACGTGTGCATGTGTATAATCAATCAACTATACACACACATTCATACACACACTGGTGCTAAAAATTGTACTTTTAGCATGCTAAGCATGACCTGAAAGAGCTGCTTTTAGTAGCATCTGTTTAGCACTTTTTAGTAGTATATGTTTAATAGCATTTTTAACTTCCAGAAGAAAGAAAACACAAATTACATTAGACTTCAAATACAGATTGCTATTCAAATAAACTTTTTCACAAACAAGGTCTAGCATAAATAAAATGTTGAAATTCTAGTAAGGAAAAGTATACTAATAAGTCTGTTGTGATTGAATTAAGAAACATTTAATATATAAGAACAATTTATTGAAAAGTACCCTCCAAAACACCAACATACTTGGAACTCAAAAGGATTATGACATTTCCAATATTATATGCATATCCTGACTTGTCATATATGGCGTATGCTGTATTTATGTGACAAACATATTATTATTATTATTATTACTACTACTACTATTACTACTCTTACTATTACTATGAAATGTTAAATATACTATAAAATGTTGTATACAGAAATCGTCTATAAATTATGTATCGCTGGGGGGGTTGAAGCAGTGTTACGTAGGGGTAGGAGATCATAGTTTCGGGTTTGTGATGCTGATATTACTTTTAAAATCTTTCAACATTTACTGAAATAATTACTTTCATTCAGTCTTATACTACACATTTACATATTAAATTCAAAATATAATAAATTAAAGAAGTTTTCATCTAAAAATTGTTACTATAAATGAAATTAGTTTTCCATCGATGATATATTGATTGAATCTTTTAGATTACGAAGAAAATATTCAAAACCGATCTACAGTATGTTCTAGAATCCGATTAGTTGGCGCAGTAGACTGACAGCCTATGCATCACCCACGACGGCATGTACATGTCATGTCAGAAATTTTTTCACTGTGTCCTCCTTTCATTGAAAATTGTCCCAAAACTTATTGTTATCCATTGTCCTCACCACTAATTCTCATTAATTACAATAAACTTTAATGAATAACACAAGTTTTTACACACAGTTTGAAACACAGTGGGAAATTAATTTTAAATTATAACTCTACAATTGAATACAAATATCCAAGAAAGTCTTGCATAACTAATGGAAGTAAAATTGGCATAAATTATTCTGTATAAAAATGCATTTCTAATTTTTTGTAAAACGTTTGGCCAAAATTAAAGTTGTTTTGGTTCAACTTTGCTCAATTTTATTAAGTCACAAAAGAACTATGCACATTGTGTGTTTTCCAAAATTATTATTGTTATTAATAATATCAATAAGTCACCAAAACAGTGGCTACAGTCCTCCCTCTTCGCCGTTCCTGCAGCATCCTCGAATGGACATGCTCAGCTAAGTGAAGTTGAACGCACTAACTATTCTCTAGTATTGTAACAAACACAAAGTAATATTATAACCATACTTACGAGAATTTATATTGCAACTTCATATTAGTTTTGCAAATTTTCTTCCTTCCTTTACGACCCTTTCGACCACGATTTGTAGGCGTTTCACTGCGAGATGTGTTATCTGTAGTTGAAGTACTTCCAACACTTGATGTTTCATCCTGTAAACATTGATGTCAATCACTGTCCACATAAACTAAAGTAATATGAACTTCAAATTGATTCCACAAATGACATAAGACAAACAATAAATTACATACAATAAATTACTCAAAAAATTAATTAAAAAATACTTTGTCATAAAAATGTTGACATAAATGCAAACCATACAAGAGTTAAGTCAATACATTAGAATACGTTTTGCAATTGTGATTCACATTACAATTGAAACATATCAGTTCTCATTTTACTATTACACCATTGAACATTGAATTATTATTGAGCAAAGAACAAGAGATCAAAAGTTGAGAAACACAAAACAGTAGGGGTAAAATTATAAATATTACTTCGACAGTAATTAAATATAATAACGTGAACATAATATTACATACCGCATCATCACCGGAATCTTCTGTGTTGGTGGAAGGTTCAGAGTTCACATGTGAATTTCTCATTCCTTTTGATTTCATCCATGAACTTCCAGGTGACATTGTTGCTCAACATTAATAATTTAAACTGGAAGATAATTAAAATAATACTGTTGATGCGTGATAACAGGATTACTTGAAACGAATGTGCCCCTGATGAAATGAACAATTAATTTTTGAAACAATGATATAAATTTCACTAGGATAACAAATAATTAGTACAATGATTCGAGTAATTTAATGTCCGTTCTGGCCTCGTCCAATTCGCATGAAATGTTTTAATTCAGTCTACAAACAAAACAAATACAATACTTGACCAAATACAAAACAATACAAATTACTATTTGCTTACGAAACACGCAAACGTCGGTTGATGTTGGTATATCCGCCAATTCCTCTTGTCGACATGATAAATCGACACTCTTCGAAACGCGTTGAATCGATTTAGAGTTCGTCTTGCTGCAAGTCGATCGTTACGTACTTGACCAACGAGTTAGAGATATCTCTAACTCGTTGTACTTGACCAATGCCATCTACAAATGAGTCTATGTAAGTAAGGGTAGATGGCGTTGACATGGACAAAGAGTATTATACATCTCTTCCTGCACACATAGAGGATTATTGTAAATTTATCCACACTGAACACTGGGTGCCACCATAGACAAACTCTGTGTAGGTGCTCTATGTGCGCCGCCATCTATTAGTACAGAAGACCATGCGCCATCCGCATTGGTGCAGTAGAATTTATTTAATGTTGCATTTGACGAAAATCAGCTGTTGCGGTTTCATCCAATCGGGAACTTATATTCGCTACAGTGACGAAACTATGGGGACGTTTAAGCTCCCGATACGATTAAACTGTGAACAGATGGTTTACGTCAGTACATGGTTAAATAAATGTCGCCTCTAGTAACTTTTCTGTTGCCGATATAAAGTGGTACAACCTTCGCTACAAAAAGTTCACGCTAAGAATACAGAGGAGAATATGTTTAGACTCTATTCCACCATGCCAATAGAGTCTTACACATCAAAATATACCATTTCGAGTGAACCTTCCTTGCTTCCTTTTCTTCTACATAATTAATAATAATAATAATATAATTAATAATAATAATTAATAATAATATATTATATATAATAATAATAATAATAATAATATAATAATAATAATAATATAATAATAATAATAATATATATTAATAATAATAATAATAATAATAATAATATAATAAATAATAATAATAATATAATAATAATATATAATAATAATAATAATAATAATAATAATAATATAATAAATAAATAATAATAATAATATAATAATAATTTAATACAGACGTGTTAGTATACAAACACTTTCTAATGTCCATTGAACGAACCTTACATACTGATTATTAATTATTTTTGGTCTAGTCTTTTTTCTAGAACTGGAATCAAGGTAGTTATAATAGAACTTCCTTCCTTTGCAAGGAGATTTTTGTACTTAATCATGGAATATTCAAAAACTGGATGTCAAAGAACTTTTAAAATGACATATTCCGCGCATTCCCTTGTTTGAATCTCAATTCAAGCACAAGGTGGTTCAAGCACGTGGTGCACCGTGCACTGCAGGTTAAGAGGTTCAATGCGAAGTAGAGCAAGTGGTGCACGTGGTATGTGATACATATGAGGACATATGAGTGTGAGTGTGACAGTGTAGCTGAGGGATGTGAATGCGAGACAAATTGACGGTTAATTAGTGTGACGTGATTTAGGCGAAAATTTTTTGAAGTGTTTTTAGCAATTATTGTAGGTTACGTTTCATTGAACTTGACACAATGGCTGATAACGAACATAATGTGTTTGAGAAAAGGATACAAGTTCCATGGATGTTTTTGTAAGTTTCAGACGTTGACATTTTAACTTAAATCTTACACAATTTGACCTTGCTAAACATGTGCCCAACATTTTAGGTCTGAGTGGCAGAAAGTCCGTGATGACGTGTATTCAAACGATATTGATCTTCAGCGAAGAAGTTATGAAAAAATGTTGCTTTGGAAAGCCAGGTTAGTTGTATTATCATTTCTTTTCGTACCAGTTTCTTCAGTATATGGATAACGGTGAAAAAATAAATGGCTGAATCTTCATGTCAAAAAACAAAGTACATTTCCAAATGTTTGCAGCAACTCCCCTTTTGATATCCGTTTGAGAAGTTTTCTGGGTTGCCTCTTCTGTAATAGCAGGAATCCAGAGGCGTATCGAGGCCCCCTGTGGCAAGCATAGAATTAGTGCCTCTGCCAATATACTTGAAATTATAGTCATTTGTTTTAGTGGGTATACTCTTTATTAGTGTCCCTTGTGAGGGGCTTGCATGGCACATACCATAGATACCTCTGCGGGAATCTCATTACCTTTGGTGTTTCAAGTTTTCTTTTATTTTAAATTTATTTTCAATGCACCTTACTGGGCAGTTCCTCCTCTTACCATTCATCTGTCAATAAGATATTTGTTAGATATTGGGAGAGTTTTCCATTCCTTTTAGAGAATGTTTTGATCAGGTTTTTCGTAATATATGGATTATTTAATGCTAATATTAAATGAGCTCCCTGAGTGATGATGTGTAATGTCATATTTCCCACTTTTCTCTGCCCGAACTTTGTTTCAACCCTATTGTATTCCCTTGGAATGATATTTGCTTATTGTTAACATACATTTCTTTCAAAATACACTACTGCAACCTTTTTTTCCTTCTTGCCAATTTATTATATTATCTATCTCTTAAAAAAAAAAAATCTAATCGTAACAAAAATCAGTCATTCTATATCTTTTAATCTTTATGCATAGTAGGTGGTAAGCTGACATCAACTCCATGCATCTATCACTCACAATTAGACCTGTTCTGTCCACTATTCAAAGCAAATGTTGTATCATTCTTTAGGTCAGTATATTTGAGGGGAACTAACCGACTTTTCCAAATCCTAAAAGAATTTGTGAAAAAGTGTTTTGGGGGTTATTAAGCCCCTAAAAACTGGGATGAAATATTTATTCTGTTGGTCCTAACACAATCTAATTGGCACTGTTTTTAAATACATATTTCTAAAATACAGGAGTGGAAATCAGTATAAAGGCACTAATGTTATGTTGTAAAGAAAATAATTTATCATCAAACATAAAGACGACATTAAAAATATCCTTTTTGGTTATACTATAAATTATTGAACACAATGGTACTTAGTTTCACATAAAACATGTTTTTATAAAGAAAGAAATAAAACAAACATTTAACAATTTAAGGCATCATTGATTTTTGACTGTTATTTAAAATACTGATTTCTAATGTTTTGTAGAGTTTTTTGCACTTTTGGGTGAACTCCATTATACCAATTGGAATATTCACTTTATTATTGTTATTATTACTATTTTTATTATAACATTTTTTTAGAACCTCCATTATTCCTGATTGACCTGGAAAATTTGTTTTGGCATGGGTTTGATTAGTGTCTCTATTTTGTTGAAGGAGATTGCCACCCATTTGTATCAAATCACACTTTTCAGCTGAGCTTCATTCTGAAATTGCTATACACACACTTTGCTAGAATTTCCTTTAGATTTTCCATTACGTTTAAGTTAGGACTCTTAGCCGGCCACAACAATATCCTGATCCCTTTCTCTTGAAACCATTGTCTCGTCTTTGCAGATTTGTGAATGGCTGCATTGTCTTGTTGAAATATCAGATCATCACAATATTCTTCATACATTCTAACACTTTCACAATCATATATCTCTGTATATTTCTCATAGTACAGTCGGTAGGTACTTAAAAAAGTGGGGTTATCTGGAAAAAGGTCATAAAAACTTTATTGGGTGATGTATGTACCAGGCACTAGATAAAACCCCAAGTTTTCAACCTCCCAGTCCTTGTGCTCACTTCGGGGGGCTCGACTGGTAATTTTTCTGACCTGTTTCTGTTTCTTCTCTATAGCTCTTTAACCTTGAGTCTTGTTGAAAAATGATTCAAATCAATTTTATAGAGTATAAATTGTTCTACAACCTTTTTATATTTTTTTCAAAAGCAATTACCGAGCGGTCTAAACATTTTCAAAAAACCATATTTTTTTCAATTCTAAAAAATGCGTGAAAAAATACATGTTTGCGATATTATAGTCAACCTATTATAAATATATTTGAAGAGCAAATGAGGAAAAGGATATATGAACCAAAAGCAATATTTTGAGAATAACAGTTCAAAAGCTTATCTTGAAAACTTTTTAAAATACATTATAATTATATTTTGTTTATTGGAAACAATTATTTCAATCAAAAACAGGTAGTGTTCTGCCTTCAAGTATTAGGGCGATGCCTGTTCTGGCTTCTCAGTCAATCTTCTTGGGCAACCTGGATCTCTTCTTCTTAGGGGCCTATATTTCGTTGCTTCCCTTAGGAATCTTCCATCAGTAATTTTTTTAGGTGGTTTTTCCATTTTGTTTTATTTTTGCTTCTGTGTGAGTGGTTAGCGAGAAGATAATGAGTTAATTTCGTATGTCAGCATTTCTTATTCTATTGAGTCTCGTACAGCCATTAACAGAAGCTCATCTCAGCTGCCTGTACTCTTGGCATGTCTTTCTTACGAGTAACTCATGATTCTGAGTCACAAGGAAGTGCTTGTACTGCCATTATTTTACAGAATTTTATTTGAGTTTATTTTCTTGTTTTATTTTTGAGGTCTTTTTTATATATTCTCTAATTCTTTGAAATTTATGTTATTTATTTTCTATATCTTCAACACACTCATAAGCAATGGTGGGTGCACATGTAAAAGGGGATAAGTTAAGTTTTTGTCTTAAATGAGTATGTTAGGATATTGCTTTATTAGAGTACTATCATTGGGTATAAAGGGTTTAATCTCATTTAAATTTTGCCATTAAATGTTAATGGCAAAATTGAAATGCCATTTATCTTCCTACACACAATGATAGTACCGTAGTAAAGCAACGTCCTGGCATACTCAATTTGGACCAAAACTTGACTTAACTCCTTTTACCTGCACACCTGCCAAATATTACAACCTATAAGTAATTATAAGTAGTTACGTGTTTTTACTTATTCCAGAATGTGACCATCATGACCGTCTTAGTTCTGACAGGACCATAAGAGGTTTTCAGTAATGAATGGGACCAAACAAATGTTTCTTTCGTGTCCAGATTCCAAGATTTAGCTTAGATTGTGTCTTATTGCCCTAGTAAAGAAAAGTTTGTGTCACTACTTACAGCTATGCATTCTACGAAAATAAACAATAATGAAGAATCAAAACTACTACTAATAATTCCAATAAACAATATATTACAATCAAACCAAGTCAGGAGTAAACATGATTGACAAATTAGTGAGAACTTACACAACTAAATGAATGAGTAGAAGGTGGCCAGTGATTTTCTTCTTTAATATTATTGGCGTTGGTGCCTTCTTTATTTGATTACATCTCACTCCAAACTGTAGAGAAAAGACAAATTCCAAGACAGTATTCTTAATAGTACTGAGAAAACAGCTAATTCGTCATGATAAAACATTGTGCACAATAGTAGGTCCAAGAATAACAACAACAACAAAAAGCATGATCGCTGCCCATTTTTTGAAAGATTATTTGATCGGAAATATACACATCAATATAGAAGTATCATTTGTAAAGTATGAATGTGCCAAAATTATTCAATTGTTTGCTAGAAATACAACAAATAATTTAGCAAGACTAATGTTGATGTTTACTCTAAATATTACATATTACTCTGCCTTTTCAATACACTTCCTATTGTATTATTTTGTGTTAAATTGTTTTTACAAATTTTGCTTTCTAAATTATTCTTTGCGTGTGTAAAATTGTTACAGGAATAGCCGAAAATATAGTATGATTTAAAGGGTGTAAAATGCTCAACTATTTTGTATTTCGTTATTGAAAATAACTGGGGTTTCTAATTACCCCAATGATATTTAATGTAACCAAAAATCTGCGGTATTGGGAGAATTAATGAGAGACGTCTCGCTCCGACCAGAAACAAAGCAGTATGTCCACTAAAGCAAGTGCTAACAGCAGGGGAGGGAAAGGTTTTTTTCTGATTACAAAGGCTCTGGACTTTGACGGAAGGACAGTCTTTTCGTTCTCTGTATCCCTTCAGCGAGGGAGGGTTATGACCAGCAGATGGTGGCCACAGAGGGCGGTCGAGGGCTAGAACGCGTTGCGTTTCGGTCATTCCTGAAAAAACAGCGAAGGCCGCGTCCTTGCGACAACACTAGGTACATCTATACATGCTCTGCACTACAAACCAAGCTCTCCTTGTACGTAACTTGAAGATATATGTATGATATCCTTTCGTCCTTATTTCATCACGACGCTATAATATGTGCTCTTAACGGGTCCAGTGACCATGACGGGCAGAGCTGTGTAATAGACGACTGTGATAAATAATGCACACAAATTTTTAAAGGGAATAATATTTCCCACATCTGAATGATTTTTTTAAATATAAACCGACCTACAGCCTCAGAACAAATTAGTGCTACGGTGGTACAGACTTTCTCGTATTTTATATTTTCTTTGAATTGGTTTTGGTATTCTACCTTAACCCATCATCTTGCCAGTCGCCATCTATCGCCGCTCAAAGTAAATTTTTACTTTCTCGTATACGTACGTATATGCGGAGTAATATACGTAGTATAGAGGAAGTTATGTAATGAGGAAAATCGTCGAGATTTTGACGGAAATACGCGTTTTGGGGTCCCCTGATACCGAAACAGTGTTGTTTTTCGACACGTCCGTCCGTCCATCTGCACGGTGTATGTGAACATTATTAGCACCTCAACCATGCGTGTTTTGTTTTCTTTCCCAAATTGACAAAACTTCTGTCCATCTGGCCTGAGTCGAAGCTTTGAGATTTTGAAAACCATTCTTTAAAATTTGAGATTACTTTACATAAAGCCACCCGGACATTTTCAAAATTTTCTCAATCTGCTCCAATTTTTTAAAAATTTCTTGTAACAATAGAGTAAAATACACGTCTAAAGTTGACATAATCCCCCTCTTTTTCATTCTTAACTCATAATTTTCGATAACTGAATTAATGCCTCATTACAATTGCAATAGTCTGAAATTTTTCGGCGTCTTCCTACAACTACAAAATTGAAGATAAAAATTTTTCCTTCAAATTAAATTTGTTGTCCATAATTGGTTCTTTCGTTAAGGACTTAAAGATTTTTTAAACTTTTGTTCGTTTACGCGCAATATTGAGTGCAATATTTGCAATTAAAAAAATACAAAAGTAGAGTTTCACAAAAATGGCTCCACCCGCCGAGGTGGGTAGGTCCTCGTCATGACGGGTAGATGCAGGGAGGATTCCAAAATATTTTTTCTTTCACTAGTCACATTTAATCTTTCCCATCGTTTCATTCTCTCATTTTGGGGGACATCTTATGGTCGTTTCTTCTACCCTTTGTATTTCACTGCCCCCCCCCCCCGCTGTATTTCTGAAAGTACTCTTCTAGACGGGTGATCGGGAGCTACCCCACTCCCGTTCAGTCGGATCGGACTAGGTATTGTACTGAACTCCAGGGTAGGCGGGGCGGAGCTGTGTCATCCTCCACTGTATCCGTGGCAACCCTGGCACTCCGATGGTGTGCCCCCTTGTTGGGCTCCGTTGTGGGTGGTGGCCACGGGGATGAATCTCCATGAATGCTAAACCTTCTCCTCCGCCCTCTTCCGCAAGGAAGAGGAGATATTCGGAATGAACTATTGATTTAAATATTTTTTTTCTTTCTTCAAAATATGACACAGAAAAAAGCATCGTTCCTCATGGCAAGCACTGAGGTTTAAGAACGTAAGTGCTGTCCGTCTGGCACGAACCAAAAAGGGAACATACGGGAAGCTTGAAGTGGACGTGCGAAAGAGTAATGGAGCGATTCTCTTTGAAGCACGTACCGACGAGCAAATGGAGAAATTATTGAAAACCAAGTAGATTGCTGTCCTCCAGGTGGTGGTGGTGGTGGTGGCGACGACGACGACGCCACACCCTAATTTGAACCTGTGCAAATGCATACTGAGCCACGAAGACTGCTTCCGAAAATGAACTAATTACATTTTATAGAAATCTTTTCACCTCACCACCACTTATAGTTCAATTGGCCTCTCACTACGAGCATATCTCCAGCTCCGCACTCTACACTCCTAGCTTTCTGAAGACCAAAAGAAGAATGGAGAACTGTAGTCTAGATTTCTCGAGTCGCGTGGAGGAAGATTGAACCCTCCTTTCTCTATGGATGAATCTTCCTATGTCCTCAATTGTGAAAGAAATTCTGCTCCAGGACCAGACCAGATACATAATCAAATACGATAAAACTGGATTAAAGTTCTCTACCTCATAATCCAGTTGCATTCACTTATGTAGAATTCATCACCTCTATAGTCATCCTGATCATTTTTGGGGGGTCTTTATCAAATCAGCCACTTTCCTTGGCCTGAAATTCGACAAGTTTAACATGGCGAAAGCATACTCAAAACTTGAAGAGCCAATACGTATCACCATTGATCCTCCTTCGCACCCTTACTGCTAGATCATGGGGCGCAGACCGAGTATGCCTTTTGCGCCTACATAGGACCATCATCCGTTCTATCTTAGATTATAGGAGAGTTGCTTAAGTGTCGACTCTCCGGCCATTGAATGCCATATTCAATGGCGGTAACGGATCAGCACAGGCGCGTACCGCGCGAGTCGCATTGAATGCCTCTTGGCCGAAGCTGGTGAACCATCCCTGAGCCGAAGGCGAAATATTGGAATCGGCGATGCGAAAGGTGCGACCTGAGATTGTCTCATTTTCGCAAATCAACTCCCCCCAGTACTTTTCTGGTGGAATTTTAGGAGACCAAATCCATGTATCCCGGCTATAACTTCATATACTGTTGGTTCCTCCCGAAATGGTAATGTATGGTGTGCCTTCTACGACCACAGTGCCACGCGGAGTCTTCGAATAGACTCATCGTGTAGCGCTTATACTGCAGAAAAAATATGCTCTATCGGAATCCCTTAAGTTCGCTTAATTGAAGACATAAAAGGAAACGGTGATCTGCAGTAATTCAAAAAGCTCGCTAAAATCTGACCTGCTTCTCTTCTTGTGACCTGACAAAGATCATCCAATTCCAAATCCATAATTGGTGCGTCGTTATAATTTGGTTCTTTGTTGGATCCCGTTGGGATACTAGGAAACGAAATTGTTGATCAGGCAGCAAAGCTCGCCACGACGAAAACTGAGGTAGTCTTTCTCACAGTCCCAACAAATGATATCGAGCTGATTTTCAAACGCTGTATTCTCAGCGCGTGGCAAATAGTGTCAGAACTCTGATTTTAAACTCACGAGAATCGAGGATTCCATAAAGCCTTGGTCTTTATTTCGTGGGTCTATGCGCGAGGAGACAATCTGATACGCCTTCGGAATGGTCACTGCCATTTCTCCCTCAATCATCACCCCCTGCTCGCTATAGTTGCGAGTCGGATCTTCCCGCGGAGCATGTCCTTCTGCGCTGTTCTAAGGGCCCCTTCCCACGGCGCGGCCGCAGCGCACGTCGCAGCAGCGCGGCGCGTAGCAGAGCATTGGTTTGAATGGAGGCCTTCCCACGTGCAGCGGGAGCCGACGCCGAACTCCAGCTACGCAAAGCGGAGGAGGAGCCACGCGCCACCTCTAGCGGAACACAGCTTTAAATGGGAGCGTTCTACCTGCTCCGGTCCCTTTGTTCGTCGTCGCCGGAGGGTCCCCACCCCCTTCCACGGCGGACGGCGGTGGCTGCGTCGGAAGAGCTCTGCTCCTTGAAGGAATCGCGCCGTGGGAAGCCGCCCTAAGGGAAGACGTAGCCGGCGAAGGCTTCACCTTGCTAGATCTCTAGCACAGGTACTTGGAAATGACGAATCTTCTCTCTGCAAGCTTTTTAGCTTCTTACGAGAGACTGGCATTTATAGCACTACTACTCCTTGTGGTACTTTCTACTTTGCACTTAGGGATATGTTGCTTACAAATTTTTGGTGAACATTCCTTGCAGGTTCCCAACACACTCGCTTTGGCCTCTGACTCTTCTAGGCGGCGGTCGCTAGGCCACCGCTGATCGCGAGCGGAAACAGGCGTTGTCCAGGCTCAATAGGTTCCCTACAGTTGAAAGCTTAATCGAATGCAAGATGTATAGAGCGAGGGCCAGAATGGTCATACGCGAAAGCAAACCGACGTCTTAGAGAACCTGCCATTCGTTTCTCTCGTACTCCTAAAGTGGTCTTTTGATTAATACTATGGAAAGGGTATGTTAAATATCACAGGTATCTCGCTCTAACTACCTTAAGCAACCGCCGATCATTAAAACACCCCCCTATACTGTTTTGTTTATTTCATGTGACCAGTGAAACGTGAAACTTTTGATAGCTATGGTTATCTACATAGTTTAGTAACTCGCATGACTAAATGTGTATTGCTCTTTGATACATATGACATTTTTTGTTTGGTTTCATTTAAAGTTTTAAATAAGCCTATTTTTTGCCGCCCCGTTTCAATGCACCTCTCGAAACAGGGTCACGACGGCCCCGGCGGTCTCGGACCGAGGGATGGCGGGTTCGAATTCCGCCTAGGGCATAGTTCTGTATGTTTGCGATTGTCTATTTCATGCATCGACATTGTCACCATCATAAATTCACTTCATCCCCCACGGCTTCCAGCCCTGGGTGTAAAAGCGAATTTAGCAAGAAAATGTTGACCCCCCCCCCCCATAAGTCACGTGCACCTACCTTTGATAAATATGACTGAGATAGAGTTGGTTGCATGTTTGCGTGGTCCTGAGATGGCCTATTCACGCCCCACCCCCACCCCAAAAAATAATTAATAGGTAGTTGGGTAAGAGGGCCAGTTTTTAGCTGCATTTGACTTCCATTTTTTAACTTAAACTATGGATCCTTAAAAAAAGATCCAATCAACCTCCGGGGATCAATATTGACCGCTTTCGGAATGTATGATTGACATACCGCATACTTGCTCACTACAAGTTAAAAATAATGGTTAGCATTTTTGTAAGATGTTAACGAATCACTCATACATTATGACTTGGTTTAGAGAAGTCACTACCACTATACCAGCATTTTCATTTTAGTTTTTATACAAATATGCAGAGGTAAGTGGTATTATTAGTTCTGTGTTTAGAAATGAATTAAAATTTTCTTTTTCTTTCTCCAGACAGTCCCGGTTGCCTGCTGGTGTAGAATGTACTCTGGAATTAATTCGTGTACGTATAATAGATCAAGAAGTTACACAACAAATGGCTAATGGTCCCAGTCCCATGTATGCTGAACATGATATGCAACTTATGTGTAGTGCTGCTGTAATGAGGTAAGGTACATTAATAGCTATTGAAATATTGTAGTTGTGATTGGATTGCTGTTTTGTTCAGGAATGAAGTGAATTAAACATTGATGTGTTAATTTCTTTTTATATGTATG